ATTTTAACTGAAAATTCAAAAATATACTGTCTAGATTGTTTCAAAATAATCCAGAGTGTATATATCTGTGCATGTATTACTGTGCACGGTCCACTGGCACACAGGCTGGACTGCTCTTTATAACTGCTCATAAATTTCCACTCAGAGGTTCAAAAGCTGTTGTCGCTGACTCCGTTCCAGACATAGGTTTTTCATTTTAGTAAACTGAACATGAATCTTTTAAGAGAATATTGATAGTTAGGAACGGATGTGTGCGCCTACAGCTAATTAATTATACAGAATCTTCCTAATTAACTTGTTTGAAGCTGTTAACTGAGTAAGGGAGGGGTCATGGAGCTAGAGATAGTATGTGCTTGGGAGACTAGATTGTAATTACAACCTAGCTGGCAAGCTTGACAGTGTATAAAAGAACATCAAAGTCTCAGGAGATTCGACACAAATTAACTCCTTTTATTTTGCCTACTGGTGATTACATTTTTGGGATAAAGTCAACTGTAAAAAAGGTCAATATTTTTGGGAAGTAGGGCATTTTGCCCATGTCTTCATCTTTGATCCCCATAAATTGCAGCTTGCATGTATCTTGCGTACCGGGCACGTTTACCCCCTTCCTGCCCAGGCCAATTTTCAGCTTTCAGCGCTGTCGCACTTTGAATAACAATTTCGCGGTAGTGCAACACTGTATCCATATGAAATGTTTATCATTTTTTTTCACACAAATAGAGCTTTCTTTTGGTGATATTTAATTGGCACTGGTGTTTTTATTTTTTGCACTATAAAAAAAAAAAGAAGCAAAATATGGGAAAAAAATGAAGTTTTTCTTTTATAAAAGTGTTTCTATTATAACGTTTTGCAAACAGGTAATTTTTCTTCTTCACTGATTTGCGTTTATGAGGCTGCACCAATAGGCAGCACTGATGGGCAGTTATAGTCAGCACTGATGAGGTGCCACTGATATGCAATGATGGGCACTGATAGGCAGCACTGACTGATAACACTGCTTGGCCGCACTGATGGACGCAGCTGTTGGGCAGCACTACTGGGCACTGATGGGTGGCACTGCTGGACAGCACTGCTGATCAGGGCACTGATAATCAGTGCAGATCTGCTCTGTGACATTTGCTGGTTATCGGCAGTACTTTACTCACGCTATGACGACAGCGTGAGGAAAGTGCTGCCAATAACCGGCAATTATATTTTACTTTGTGATCTGCTGTGTCATTGGACACAGCTGATTATGTGGGAAAAGACTGCTGTGATTGGCTTTTTACCTAGTCATGTGAATAGCTTTGTCAGTAGGACACAACTATCACTGACAGCTCCGGGTGCGTGCCATTGAGGGTGCTTTGTGGGAGGAAGTCATAGGACGCCTTTCCAGAACTGGACAACCACGCTGTAGCTGTCGTTCAGCTATAGTGCGGTTGTAAAGTAGTTTAAGGATAAGCTCACCTTTTAACAAAAAATAATAAATGCACATTTTGTTTTTTGCAGGTAAAAAAATGTGCATTTACTATTTTTTGTTTTAGGAGCCTTGAAAGCATTGCACCAGCAATCAGATCACTCATGCCACGCAGGTCTCCTGCACACTGTCAGTGTAATTTGTGTGCTCATACCTCATACGGGCAGGCAGTTACACTGACAGGAAGTATCAATGCTCAACAGCAACATGGTAGTTCTATGAAAACTACAAGCGAACAGCCGCAAAGGTTTGAATTACAGGAATCAGTGCCGAGGCCGTGTGGATGCAGCCCACACGGCCATGCTTTCTTTGAATTGTGGCGAGTATGGGGAGAATTCCCTGGCTCACTACAAAAATGGCGAAGGGAGGGAGCGGAGGGAGATAAGGCTGATGCCCCTAAACTTGTTACACCCTAAATATGGGTATAAAATGTAACATGTTCAGAAAGATGAACTTATCCTTTTAAGCTGCACTGCAAGCAAAACGTTAAACAAAATAATTAGCATTAAAGTCTCTGTGTCAACCATATACATATATACTGTATATACACATACATATGCACACACACTCACATACATATACAATATATATACACACACACACACTCACTGGCCACTTTATTAGGTATACCCTTTTAGTACCGGTTTGGATCCCCTTTTGCCTTCATTCTTCATGGCATAGATTCAACAAGGTGTTGGAAACATCCCTCAGAGAATTTGGTCCATATTGACAAGACAGCATCATGCGGTCGCTGGAGATCTGTCGGCTGCACATCCATGATGCGAATCTCCCGTTCCACCACAACCCAAAACGTGCTCTATTGGATTGAGATCTGGTGACTGTGGAGGCCATTGGAGTACATTGAACTCATTGTCATGTTCAAGATACCAGTTTGAGATGATTTGAGCTTTGTGACATGATGCATTATCCTGCTGTAAGTAGCCATCAAAAGATGGGTACACTGTAGTCATAAAGGGATGGACATGGTCAGCAACAATACTCCAGTAGGCTGTGGCATTTAAACAATGCTGAGTTGGTAATAAAGGGCACAAAGTGTGCCAAGAAAATATCCCCACACCATTACACCACTACCCTGAACTGTTGATACGTGGATCCATGCTTTCATGCTGTTTACTCCAAATTCTGACCCTACCATCTGAATGTCGCAGCTGAAATCAAGACTCATCAGACCAGGCAGCATTTTTCCAATCTTCTATTGTCCAATTTTGGTGCACCTGTGCAAATTGTAGTCTCCGTTTCCTGTTCTTAGCTGACAGGAGTGGCACCCGGTGTGGTCTTCTGCTGCTGTAGCCCATCAGGTTCGACATATTGTGCGTTCAGAGATGTTATTCTGCATACCTTGGTTGTAACGAGTGGTTATTTCAGTTACTGTTTCCTTTCTATCATCTCAAACTAGTGTGCCCATTTTCCTCTGACATCCCAGTAGATCAGCAGTTTTTGAATACTCAGACCAGCCCGTCTGGCACCAACAACCATGCCATGTCACGTAAATCCCCTTTCTTCCCCATTCTAATGCTTGGTTTGAACTTCAGCAAGTCATCTTCACCACATCTAGATGCCTAAATGCATTGAGTTGCTGCCATGTGATTGAGTGATCAGCAATTAAACAGGTGTACCTAATAAAGTGGCCAGTGGGTGTATTTAAGTAAGAGGCTACAAAGTTCTTGTTTCAAAAATTCAGTTCATGTGTATCTAAACTGTATATCTAACTATCAATACATAAGCATTTCACAGCCAAAGATATTCAGCATTTTCTTTTATTCCTGATTAAGGTATGGTACATAACTAATATGCACATTATTTAGTTCACATATTTATGCTGTGCTGGCATATTTTACAGTGTCTTACAAAGAACATAGAACCAGAATAATTAGTATCTGTTCCTCAAGGGAGCTCAGTCTAATATATTGGAAGAATTAGAGGACAACCTCCAGGACTTTTCAAAATAAATACAATACAGAAAGCTGCAACAGATATCCTTCACTATTTATTTATTGTCTTTAACCCTGGCAAGATGAAAGAACAACAAGAAGTCAATTGTGCTCAGGTACTCCATGTCACCTGCAGAAAAATGGTCATGCTGGCAACAAGACAACATACATCTGTGTATTTACTATACATGGTTCATCTTCTCCAGCTAAACAATACAATGAAATCAAGACAGTGGAAGTCACATTGCATACAACAGCAGTACATCATTATGGCAAATAAAAAGGAAGCATTGCATTATACTGCTGCGTTGATCAATAATGTAAAATAGTGCAAAATATCACTCTCCCTTTTTACTATTTATACAGTATAGCAGGCAAATTGTGTTTTACTGCATTTTAATAAATAGCAGTAATCATGTCTAAGTCAAGGTTTCTATAGCATTCATCACCAAGAAAGAAGCAGAGTTAAGTACCAGAGCTGACACATTTCAAGCACAAGAAGCCTTCATTCACACTACATACCCTTATTACTAAAAAAAGCAAGTATGATGCCCATTATTTTTTTTAACATCTCCTACATGGCATTTCATGTACTTCACCACTACAGTTAAAGTTTCATTAACATAACACTAAGGTACTTAGGTTGCAATTTCATTTTTCTTTTAGGGCTGGTTTACACCAGATGCAGTCCAGTGCATTTTTTTTCAAAATGCACGGGTAGTGCTTAACATGGATTCCAATGGCCCTAGTTTACACCAGTGCCGTGTGTTCCAGTACAGTCAACAAAAGTAGAACATGTAGCTTTTTTTTTATATATGGAATGCAGCAAAATGGCACCTGAATGCACATGTCTTCAATTGAGATTAAGAAAAAATATAGGGGAAAAAAGGCATTGGATTGCATCAAAAACTCATCAGAACGCATCAAAAACACATTAGAAATATAAATGCAGAAACACATTGTGAACCAGCCCTAAATCATTGTGCAGATTATGGCATGGTTCACTGTTACCTTGGTCATGCTCAGGAAACATATATTGTCAACAAAGTAAATGGATTATACATGGGCCCTACATTAAGCAACCTAGATACCATAGTTAATATATGCTTGAACTTGGTTTATAGCAGTTTAACATTCTATTTTCAAATGCGCAATGTTGCAAGTAAAATAAATTAACATGCTAAGATTACTATAATGTGTCACTGTTCTCTCTATTAACAAATAACTGTCTTTTATAAAATGGGTATAATTACTTGCAGTGTGTTTTTATGGAATTGCAAATTTATTGATTTTGATGCTCTGTGTTATTGTTTTCACTGTGGGCACTTGATACATACAAGCGAATAAAGATTGAACAAACATATCTTATCTTTTGTAAAATAAATATCCAAAAACAATAATAGCAGGAATGAGAAGGGATACAATCATTTTGTGTGCTCATACAGTATTTGCAGCATTGCCAAAGCAGACAGTTTATTGATTATTCCTTATTTTTTTTTTCAAGTAACACAGTCAATGAGGAACAAGGTACTGAAACAATTCTTTTAAAGTTGCTCCACCTAGTGGAGAAAAAAGGAAATTCAATTGCACCTTCAGCAAATACTGAGAGGACGAGATGTCCCCACAACTATAAAGGTGGCTTGCAGAACATTGGATGGCACACTTGTAATTTGATAGGGTTGCTGTCCCCCAGCATAAATGGCAAATTCTCCAGGCTCAAGTATCCAGTTGTCAGTCCAAACTGCTCGCTGCCTTGGTAGGATTTTAATAGAGACCTTTACAGAACTGCCTACTGGAATTGTTACCCGTTGAACTCCTACCAACTGCCAATGAGGAACCGGCACAGAAGCAGTCCACCAGCTCATATACACCTGTACCACCTAAAAATAAAACAAATTGATCATTAAAGAATTCTGAACTGTAACCTTGGCCTAGTTAGGCATACATTACACCACATACTAAGGATTACACTGAAGGGTCCATTTATAACAAGATATGGTCATTAGCTGTCAGTTATACACCACTTTTCTAAGCAAACCACATCCCTCTCCATTTAAAAAACAAAATGTCCAAGGTCTGCAGCCAGATGGAATTCTCTCATTAAGCATAAGTGTAGCCTGCGCAGAGGACTAATTAATTAGACTGGCTGCTGCTAGCAAAACCACAAATGTGTAATGGTGAACAATTGTGTGAGTACAAACATAAAAGTTGCTGAGATGCCTCTACTGAAAAAGTAAATATACCACCCTACTACATATAGGGGCCCCACAGATGTGTGTATACTTCAACGCCCTATGGGCTAACAAATATATCCCTCCTGCCCATTAACTAAATCATAAATAGGGAAACAAATATATATACTCTGTGTGCTCAAAACAACATTTGTGCAATAAAATGAATGATAGCAATTATAACAATACTATCAAACTATACTTACAGTGCGTACTTATATGCAAAAGACTATATATTTATTAAAGTCCCAATCGACGTGCAAGCATATTAAAGTTCCAATGTGAGAAAATCCCCATCCAATGTGAATACTAAGTGATACAATAGTTAATCTTCTTATCTTTAGCAATCCTCTGTGCTAAGTGCTCCAATTAGTGCTCCCAATCTAGAGCCCCACTCACCACAAATAACTGACCATCTTGAATGGTAGGTCAAATAGTGAATTGGATGTTGCAGCCCTCTCCTGCAGTAAGTTTGCCGTCTGTATGATCTTGATACCTCTATCTACTGGTAACGGACTCCATATGTGATAACACCTCCAGATCAACCGCTTGTGAAAACTCCTCCAGAACATCCACAGTACTCCTCCACCACCATAAAAACATCAACGGGAAACTTCCATAGCGTAACACCGTATTTATTAGGTAAAAAACACTTAAAATTGCACTTACATAAAAAACATGTGTATGGCACTTTAAATCCCAGCACACAGCAATTCCTTCTCAGAGGACAAGTGTAGTGCTATCAGGCCCCTCCCTACATGTTCATGCTCCTGATGATGTCATATGATGAACCGCGTAGGGAGGGGCCTGATAGCACTACACTTGTCCTCTGAGAAGGAATTGCTTTGTGAAGGAGAGGGCTGCAACATCCAATGTGCTATTTGACCTACCATTCAAGGTGGTCAGTTATTTGGGGTGAGTGGGGCTCTGGAGGGAGAGCACTAATTGCAGCACTTAACACAGAGGATTGCTATAGATAAGAGGATTAACTATTGTATCACTTAGTATTCACAGTGGATGTGGATGGGGATTTTCTCACATTGGAACTTTTATATTTGCACGTTCATTGGGACTTTCAGCGAAACATTAAGGGCTGTCGTCTTTAGAGAGTTTAAAGAGAGCCCAGAGAGTGCAAAGAAACGGTGCAGAAGACATAGTAGATTAGGTATGGTAGTCAGAGGGGAGGAAATGTACATTAAAATGTCATCAGCAAATAAAGAGCATTTATGTTCCTGAGGACCACAGTGGACCCCGTGAATACGAGAGTGAGAGCGGATTGCCATAGCGAAGGGTTCTATGGCCAGTGTAAAAAGTAATCGGGAGAGTGGACTGTGACAATTGTGCGCACTAGAGACATGGACACTGTACATGACAGCCATCTTGTTAGGTCTCAGCCATGTTTTCTCCCTCCTCCCTTTTTAATGGAATGCATAGCTATAGGTTGAACGGAGGTCAAGAGGATCTCTTATCCTAAATAAAACACAGATAGATAAGCTTCAGGGCTGTAAACCGCTAATTAATTCTGGTTCCAGGGGGTCTGCTTGAAAACTACTTTCCTCTGCCCGATCGTAAAACAATAACTCAGTCAGTCATGACCTGTTAGGCCATTAGGGCTAGAGCGTGCCATAAATGTACATTCCACATGAGTAATTTTTTCATACAATTCATAAACTTCAGAAGGAACTGGGCACATTAATATGAAGTATATATTTGGATAGATAATTTTAATAGGAGTCACACAAAACCTTACATCACTATATTAGTACCTACAAGAGAGAAGAAGCAGTCTCTCTTTTATCCTGGGTGACAAGGGTACGTTATGTTTGGTATCTTTGTGTTTGGAATATAATTCTAAACATTAATCTGCCAGGTGCTAGGATGCTACCTGTACCCATTGAAGGTTATTGACCTTAGTATGAAATTGTAAAGGGATTTGGTCATAACCTTGGTTACCGCCTAACACCCATCCCCAAACTGGATGATTGGTCATTTGTTCTGAGGACACACCCTCTGATATGATAGAAAAAGACTGACAGCCTGGAGAAAGACAGCTCTCGTTTAACATCAATCAGGATCCATCTAAGAGACTTGAGAGCCAAGGCAACCTTTTTGTTCGGACAATTGGACTCTGCTCAAACCAAGGACTTTTGAAAGCCTTCTGAACTTCTTTCTTTTATTTCTCTGTTGTTTTATTACTCTCTTTATATCCTTGTTACCTCTTTTTCTGTAAATATTTTAATTGCACCATTATGACCTTTTTAGTAATAAATCCTATTTTCTGAAAAGTGTTGAACTGTCTCTAAAGCTTTTAATGCAAACTAAAGAATCCCTGTCTCTTGAAGAGTGCTACTGTATGTAATTATTCTCTGAATACATCTGTCTGTGGTGACAGTGTGTATGACAGACGCTTATACTAATATCATAGTGCTACTGCTAAGATTTGTGAGTTTCCTCCTTCTCTGTAAAAAGGTGGTGGTGGCAGTGTGAAGGGTTATTTGCCTAATTAACCTGACCCAGTAACAATCGCTCTCTGGCTGCTGGCACATAGATTGTAGTCCCGCGAGCTGGAAAATCTTAGTGTAGGGAGCAGCTGAGTGTGGCATTGTTATCCAAGTGAGCGCAGTGTAAGATTGGCTGGTCCTTCGGTCACGAGTTGGTGAGAAGGACTGGGGTTGGGCACCACGTTCCGTCACATGGACAACCTTGTCTAGCGCCATGACGAACTGGAAATATGGGGGATCTGTAACCTCTAATGGACACCGAGCCGAGGGTGTGTGGTACAAGGACTGTAATAGAGTAAGAAATGTAGGACCAAATCCAAAAGCTTTCAAGATAGTCCCAGACAAATAGTCGCAGGTTAAGCTATTTCCAGTCGTATTTCCGGTCCATTTGCTGTACGTTTGACGTCACTTCCGGTGAGTGGAGCGCACGCCGAGCGGTGCGTTCCAGCGGCCATTTTGTGGGATTCGTGTTGAATATTGGTTAAGTCTCTGCCTCATCTGGCTGCATTGATGTGGGAACCCTGGAGGATTTGCTGGCTGTGATTATCTGGCTGTCTTGGGCCCAATAAATGTGCTTTTATTATTCATTTGAAATGTGAGTGGCCTGGAGTTTGTTCAATATAGGATCAGAATGTTCTTGGCAATATTACACTATGTAAGTTTTTTTCTCTGAGAACACGGTGGAGGAAGCGTGGAGACCACGGTGAGGACCTGAAAGAGGATCCTATCTTTGGGAGGCTAATTTTGAGTGGATGGAAAGAGGGCGTGGGATTCCCTATAAAATCCCAAAGGCTCTACATTCACCTTAATCTGGTGAGTGCATTTGATGTTGGTGTGCACGGGTGAAAGGTGGAAGGCTAAGAATTTGATTTGGAGGTCTTTATTTTGCACCACAAGGGGCTTTTAATGAGGTTTTTTGACACAAATATGTACTAAGTGATATGGGGTTTTGATATTTTGTTATTTAATAATATCTATTTTGCGCTGTTTATTTTTCACATTAAGCAAGATAGGTCTATAGTTAAGAATACCTGTGGTGTACTTGGTAGGCTTAGCGATAACACTAATATAAGCCTTGTTCTCGTCCAAAGGAATCACACCGTTCTCTCTCAGGAAACTGAAGTAAAGAGCCATATGGGGGAGAAGCTGTTCAGAGAAAGTTTTATAGTAAATATTCGGTAAGCCGTCGGGGCCAGGGAATTTATGTGATGTCAGCATTTTAAGAACCTTACTTAAATTCTTTGCTAGTTATAGGCTGTTCCATAAGTTCCCTGTGAGCTTCAGCAATGCTTGGAAGCATTAAAGGTCCCAAAAAATCTTGACGCAAAGAGGGCTCAAAGGGCCAGGGTTGGCTATATAAAGTAGTATAGAAATGATTAAATTCCATGTGAAAAATTTATGGGCAAAGATTAAGTTCTAGTCGCGCGTGTTCCACCTTGAGTAACAGATCCAGGGATGGGATATTTTTGTGTTGAGCTAGCAAAGCTTCTAATTCTCTAGTTTTGGCAGAAGTCAGCTCTTCACGATATCGCTTAAATCTAGAGGATAGTTGGATTAAAAAAACCTCTGACAGAGGCCTTATGAGCTTCCCAGTTAATAGCAGGATTCGTATCTTTCGCTTTATTGGTAGTAAAGTAAGATTTCAAGTGTTCTATGATGTCGAGGCGGATCGTCTCATTGCTAAGAAGAGACTCATTTAATCACCAATGTGGCTTAGCCAAGCTGACAGTTAAATTATAAAGCATTAACATCACTGGGTCATGGTCCGACCACAGTATCAAAAACACAATTTTAGCCGAAATCAATTCAGACAGCATCTCTGTAGGGAGAAAAATGTGGTCGATACGCGAGTAGCGATTATAAGCTCTAGAAAAATTGATGTAGTCTCTAGAGGTAGGTTTGGCCTCCCTCCGCGTGTCTATCAAGTTCTAATGATACAAAAGTTTTGCAAATACTCGACTTTGTTTCGGAGGGGCTCTGAGTTTAGTAACATAAGATTTATCAAGCGTTTGATCTAAGGCCAGATTCGAGTCCCCCGCAAAAGTATATTGCCTTCTAACTCCGGGGAGAAAGTCTGAAACGGATCAAAAAAAATGCTAGTTGATTCACATCAAGCATAGTATATCAGAAAAGTCACCAGATTATCCCCCAGATGGGCTTTAACTAGTAAATATTGCCCTTCTTTGTCCCGTATCACTTTAGAGTCGGTAAAAGATATCCGTCGTGATAGACAGAGCGCTACCCCTCTTTTTTTCCAGATGCGTTAGCGAAAAAGCATACAGGGAAATCCCTATGGATATATCTAGGTGTAAAAGAGGAAGCAAAATGGGTTTCCTTTAACGCCACTATATCAGCTCCTAAGGATTTATAGTGAACACCTTGAGGCGCTTAGAGGGGGATCCCAGGCCTTGCACATTATGGAAAAGAAGATGAACTACACTACTAGAAGGTCTTAGTGTAGACATGGAAAAAATGGCAAAGCAACGATGATGTGACCCGTACTTCCATACATATGGATATAAGGGATCCTGATCCAAATAGAAGATCTCGAAATGACCCTCACATAGAAATCGTGAAAAAAGGCGGGAAAAAGAAGAAAAAGGCTAGCATCCAACTAAATGGACAATTAACAATACACAACATAAAACAACTGAAATTCAAGTATCCCAGGCACAAAGTCAAAGAACGGAAGAGTCTCTACCAAAGCAAAGTAATAGAGAGAGTCTTTTGATTAGAGAGAGTGCATAGACTCTTCCTGGCACCATGGGATATATGAAAAAAGCAGGACCAGCAAAACAATTCCTGATGCCAAAAGCTAGAATACCTGGCACAAAAAAGGACCAACCCAGAACATTTAGAAACCAATACAGCTAAAGTGCATAATTCAAATACCAATAATGTAAAAACAATAAAAGTGGAGGCCAATGTCCCCAGAAAGGACCCCGGAGAGGTCCCCACCAACTGGAAAATTGTGTGATAACTGGAAAGTTCCTTAGGACATGGAGTAGCAGATTTCTTTTTCCTGCGAGGAGGGCCATCAGCCGTGGAAGGATTCTGTGATGGGGGGCTAAGGGAAATAAAGCCCATAAGCATCAAGATTTTCTCCCCTTCAGAAAAGAGAGAACGCGTAGGATTTGCCATTGTAAATAAATTGCAGTTGGAATGGATAGTTCCAGCTATAGCGGATGTCTCTCTGAATCAAAGGGGAAAGTAATGGTTTGAACGCCCTCCGTTTTTGGATAGTAGCTTGCAAGATGTCAGCAAAGACTTGAATCTTATATCCGTCGATTTTCACATCTGGATGTTCCCTGGCATAGCTCATCACTGCGTCTTTAACCACTTGCCTACGGGGCACTTATACCCCCTTCTTTACCAGGCCAATTTTCAGCTTTCAGTGCTGTCGCACTTTGACAATTGCGCGGTCATGCAAGATTGTACCCATATGAAATTTTTATCATTTTTTTCTCACAAATAGAGCTTTCTTTTGGTGGTATTTAATCGCCGCTGGGTGTTTTACTTTTTGCGCTATAAACAAAAAAAGTGCAAAAAATTTGAAAAAAAAAAGTTTCTTTGTTTCTATTATAAAATTTTGCAAACAGGTAATTTTTCTCCTTCACTGATGTGCGTTGATGAGGCAGCACTGATGGGCACTGATAGGCAGCACTAATGAGGTGGCATGGATAGGCGGCACTGATGATGGGTACTGATAGACAGCACTGATAGGTGGCACTGACTGGCAGCACTGCTAGGCATTGACTGGCGGCACTGCTAGGCATTGACTGGCGGCACTGCTAGGCATTGACTGGCGGCACTGCTGGGCATTGACTGGCACAACCACTGGGCACTGACTGGCTGCACTGATGGGCACAGGTGGGTGGCACTGGTGGGCACAGGTGGGTGGCACTTCTGGGCACAAGTGGGGGGCATTTCTGGGCAGAGGTAGGTGGCACAGGTGTGTGGCACTGCTGGGCACAGGTGGGTGCACTGCTGGGCACAGGTGGGCAGAACTGGTGGGTGGCACTGCTGGGCAACGATCATCAGGGCACTGATTATCAGTGCCCTGATGATCGGTGCCGATCCCTGCTCTGACAACTGCCGGTTCTCAGCAGTACTTTCCTCAAGCTCTGACAGCGTGAGAAAAGTGCAGCCAAGAACCGGCAATTGCATTTCCCTGTAATCAGCGTGTCATTGGACACGGCTGATCACGTGGTAAAAGGCCGCTGTGATTGGCCTTTTACCACATCACGTGATTAGCTGTGTCCGTAGGACATGGAGATCGCCGAGTGCGCGCCCCCGGGGGCAAGCAGGAGGAGAGCGCATTCTGGGAGGACGTCATATGACGTCCACCCAGAACTGGCCGGCCGCAGTGTAGCCGTCATTCGGCTATCTGCGGTCGGCAACTAGTTAATTCTGAAGAAGTGAGGTTTGACGATTACATCTTGAGGGGGTCCATCAGGCTTTAAGGGGATCAGAGCTCTATGGATGCGGTCAATCTCCATGTGAATTTCGTCAGTATCCGGAACTGCTGCCAATATGAGGAAGTGGGCAAATGTAGCGATATCTTTAACTGTTTCTGGTAGGCCTCTAATTCTAAAATTGTACTGGCGGGCGCGATTCTCAAGGTCGTCTTTCTTTGTATAAGCTTCCCCAAGGCGATCTTGTAGGTCAGCAATCTTGGTAGAATTCTGCGACACTCTGTGAATGGTATCATCAACTTTATTTTCAATATTCTCCAGGCGGTTTCTGATATCCCTAAAATCTTGCCTGAGGTCAGAGGTTAGTTTAGTGGTAGCTTTTTCTAATTCCCTCTGAAGCAAAACGAGCAATGAGTACAGAATCCCTGAGTAGTGCTGGGACACATCTGGAGAAGCAGGCGATAGAACTGGACCATCAAGAGCAGAATCTTGGCCACTGAGCTGACTATTAAACATCTCTGCCATGTCCCTATCAAGTAGGGAGGAAGCATGTGATTCCTGGTCTGGTGACAGGGCCACAGCCTGAGGGGGAGACTTGGCAGGGCAGGATATGGACCCAGAAGGAGCAGAAAATACACTCACATGAGCCTGGGAGCCGTCACTGCGTGTTCCAGGGCTGGATGGGGAGAGCTGGGCTCGCTGTATTAAAGGCAGTTTCCCCTCTGAAGCGGAGGAGCTCCAGGATACGGCACCGGCCGCCATCTTGCCCCTTCTCCTTTCTTCAATGCGGCAGTGTGGGAGCCGCCCGCCTATCTTCTAGCCGGCTGGGTAGGCATCGGAGGTCCTCCACCTGCTCCTCAAGCCGATCAGGTGAGGGGCCTGACGAAACAAGGTCAGGGTGTGCTGTATGTCCCCCCTAAAGCGACGGAAAGGTGCGGAGCGGTGATCACATCATCCGCTCTAGCCGCCCGCGCATGCACTCTCTCTGGAGCTCCAATTTAACTATGTATTTATGTATGTATGCTGGTGTGAACAAGCCTCTGAAGTTGAACTCCAGGCAGATATTAAACATTAAAGCAGTTAAGTATTTAATACATACAATGAAATAGATATACTTTACTTTATGTCACTACTATAAACACCTGAGTTTGTATTGATTTCAGCCTCTTGCAATGCCCAGTACAGCAACACATAGACTGGGAAAGGGAGGAACAGTACAGTTAGTTATGCTACATTCACATGTGCTATAAATTAACATTCTGACATGAAGAGGGCAAAAAGTTGACCCCATCAGTATGCTGCTGCTCCTTTACTGTCCAGTCAAAGGTTAGGTGCTGGGAGGTGGCGAAGCTGTATCGCATTACTTCAGCAAAAAAAAATAGTTAACTCACCAGGCTGCCTCTGCTGTTTATAAGAGCTTTGAAAATGTCAGAACTGGATGGAGAAGAATGCAAATCTTTTCTAAGGTATGACCCCAGGCACACTGGGCATTTTTGCTATCTCTTCTAGACACCTTTCCTCCTGGCAGCTGTGTTTTGGCAGAAAAAATGCTTGATGCTTGTGTTTAGCACAAAGTACTTGGACATTATTCCATTTCAAAGGCCAGAATAATTATTATTCTGGCCATTTAAATGAGTTACTGCTCAAGCACTAAACACACCTAGCGTTAAAGCACATTTAGATGTTCTTACAGATGTCAACTGTTTTTTCTGCCACGCTGCTCCTGGATGTACTGGCAGTGAGTTTTTTTTTCTGCTTATAAAGTCTTCTAAATGCCTATGTGTGCATGGACACAAAGGATAACATGCAGGGGTGTTTAGAGTAAAAAAAAAATGCCAGGCTACCCTAAGAGCAGCATTAAAAATGGCCAGTGTGAATGAGGCCTATGCCAACTTCCATACACTGTTTGTATTTTACCTGTGTATTTAACAGTTTGCATTATACATAAAATATAGAGCTTAAATGGGACCTCCAAGCAAAATATGAAGCAGATACAGCAATGAGAAGTTTTACTCTTACCTCAACCCCCATTCTTAAGCCGGTATTTTTCACATTCACAGACAAGAGAAGAGTGTCACAAGGATGCAAAAGACTTGGGTTGACTTCCAGGTTACTATAATGAAACATGGTATAGGAAAGCCCATAGCCAAATGGGTAGAGAGGAACTTGGCTCCCATAATACCGATATGTCCGCCCTTGCATTGTGTAGTTTTCCATGGCAGGGACCTTAGACAGAAGGTGTTTCAGAGATAAGTATAGCATACATACAACATAGTTTTAATCATAACTTTTTTAAATTTGTCCTCTCCTACCTTTGACAAGTTGCCCTATTTGGCTTCTGCAAGTAAAAATGTTAGCTATTACTGGAATTTGGTCTTGTTTTTTTTTTTTTGTGGAGGTAAGATTTCCATGAATATTTTTTTATGGTCTATAAAATACATACCAAAAAGTCTGCTTCTTCAGCTTATACAGCATTGCATCTTTTTTCCGGTCTCATTCTGTGTACACCCAATAATGACCATAGCAATGCATTATGTGGCTTAATTTTCTGCAATGCACAAACAGCATGGCATGGCATGGCATATGAGAAAATAAAGTGTAGGAGGATCTTTGGAATTGACAAGAATTGTTCAGCTTTTTGTAATACATTCTATGACTTGACTTTATTGATCAGAAGACCTACCTGCTCCATGCTTGCAGGCCATGTGGCTGGCAACCTGCCTGCAGGATTTGCCTCTTGTGCTCCTATTAAAACCTTAGTAATAGCCGTGCCTGCAGCTTGTGCAGGGAAAAAGCACTCCAGAATGGCATGCACATCCTCACTTTCCTTGGCCCAGGAAATGTCCAAAGGACCAGCATTAAAGAGCAGCAGAATAACAGGACGTCCTGCAGCTGGAAGGTAATAAGGAAAAAAAATCTTATGGTATTAGGATGCTTGAAGGGTAGCAGAGAATCATACAAACCACACTGGTGTCAAAGTACTTTAGTACTGCTGCTAATGAATTTTAAAAATGATAGTCGTCTGTCCCTTAACCATGTTGAGGTAATTTAATGGGAAGACTGATTTACAGACTGGATGTGCTGTATATCTAATATGATGCTTAAAATGAATTCTCAATGGTTGGTATGCTCCCTGCACTGTTTTACTGACTAACCCAATGGCACTATATATATGAAAAGCAACCCATTCTGCACTTGGTGTTGAATCACAATGGACTCAACTTTAATCTTTATCTTGCCCAAGTTCACTGCCATTGTTACGAACAGAAATGAAAGCGAGCGCTAATAAATCCTGAAGCAGCTGAAACACTAAAAGGTAAACCATATGTCATAGATCTGATATAAAGTGGTAGTGCAGCGCTATAAAATGTAGACAGACTAGAAGCATAAAAAACGCACATACACGATGGGTGTGCTTCTGACTGTAGGAGTTAAAACTATAGTGATAATAGCAAAGTAACCATATATAACTTATGAAACCATGTGATGATAAATCCAACTAAAATGTTGATATTGATGCCAAACGCATACACAAGCAATGCGTCAAATGTAAGTATGAAATAGATGTGTTGATAACATGTACAGAACACACACTATACTGATGAATGCATAGTGACCACATATAATAGTGAAATTAGTCCAATTCTGGATGTTAATATTAATACAAAACGCATGAGCGTGGAATGCGTTCAAACCATGAGATATCATGAAATATTCTCATTTATTCTTGGAGTGATGTGATTGGATCCCAGTTAACAGACAGTCCAGGTGCGTGTGCCAATAAATATATAAAGTGCGCACTCACCAGATACGCTAATTAAAAGTGCGATGTGTCAAATATGGTGTCGTAATATCAGTCGTGGGTCCCTTCACACGGGCAATCCGAGGTGCAGCTTGGGGATGGGTGGCCTTCCTTAGATGACAGTGTATTTAGACAAGCCCGTATGGAATAATTCAACCTCTTCCAGGCACTGAGGAATTCACCAGGGATCACTAGGGGATTTAAAATGCTCGAGGCAGAGCAAGAAGTAGGGATATGCCCATAGTGTAGTATTTCAGATAATGCTTTAATTATAATGGTTAAAAAGGATAAATCCAAAAACGTACATGAATGCACTGTAAGAAGGAGCAATATAGTGACAAATTGCATAATAAGCAAACTGACCAGCTGGTGTCATGGGGTGGCCACTGGACCTCCATGGTCCGGCGGCATTGACGTCAACGGCTTGCAGGGGCTCCTCCTTGACGCATTTCGTACTAAAAGTACATTATCAAAAGGGGTATGCCCGTTTGCAGCCTGATGTCTTAATTCTGCTGTTTAAATACTCTGTAGTTTTCAAAAAAAGCGTCAATGAACGTCAGGCGCCATCTTGCCGAGACCGGCACAAGTGCACATGCGCAGAGACGCGGGCGCCATTTTGTGTTGGTCTGTAGCAAGGACATCATATAGCCGAGTGTCGGCGTCGTACTGCGCATGCGTGGGCACCATTTTCCCTTAGTTCGGGGAAAGGGAATGCAGCAGACGGCTCTGTATGTTCAGCATACAGTGAATATCGCCGCTCGTTATTTTAATGTATTGCTGAAAATATATTACTTGAGCACTTAAATAACAATATGAATATTGATTCATCATGTATGGGAAATATTACTATATTAATTAATTACGCTGCACCGCTGGTGCCTGCATTGCACGTGCGCGGGCGCTATTTTTTTGGAGTCTAATAGGGGAAATGGCTGGGCACCATTTTCCCTAAGTCATAGACAGAGACATGTATATTAGTTGTCATAGATACAATGCGTGCCAAATTTAACGCTCCCTATTAGTAAGGGGAAACGAGGTGCATATTCAGTGTTGTTTAAAATTAATAACATTGTATACTGCAAGTGCATAAAAAGCTGTCTTCAAAATACATCCTTACATGAAATAAACAGACATGAAATTCATCAGCACGAATAAATACAAACTAAGTGTAAACATACAAATTAACTAGTCCACAAACAAGATGTGCTTTAACTGCAGACTGTCAGCTTTAATTTGAGGGTATTTACATCCAAATCAGGTGAACGGTGTAGGAATTACAACAGTTTGCATATGTGCCTCCCACTTGTTAAGGGACCAAAAGTAATGGGACAGAATAATAATCATAAATGAAACTTTCACTTTTTAATAGTTGGTTGCAAATCCTTTGCAGTCAATTACAGCCTGACGTCTGGAATGCATAGACATCACCAGACGCTGGGTTTCATCCATGGTGATGCTCTGCCAGGCCTCTACTGCAACTGTCTTCAGTTCCTGCTTGTTCTTGGGGCATTTTCCCTTCAGTTTTGTCTTCAGCAAGTGAAATGCATGCTCAATCGCATTCAGGTCAGGTGATTGACTTGGCCATTGCATAACATTCCACTTCTTTCCCTTAAAAAACTCTTTGGTTGCTTTTGCAGTATGCTTTGGGTCATTGTCCATCTGCACTGTGAAGCGGCGTCCAATGAGATCTGAAGCATTTGGCTGAATATGAGCAGATAATATTGCCCGAAACACTTCAGAATTCATCCTGCTGCTTTTGTCAGCAGTCACATCATCAATAAATACAAGAGAACCAGTTCCATTGGCAGCCATACATGCCAACAACATGACACTACCACCACCATGCTTCACTGATGAGGTGGTATGCTTAGGATCATGAGCAGTTCCTTTCCTTCTCCATATTCTTCTCTTCCCATCACTCTGGTACAAGTTGATCTTGGTCTCATCTGTCCATAGGATGTTGTTCCAGAACTGTGAAGGCTTTTTTAGATGTCATTTGGCAAACTCTAATCTGGCCTTCCTGTTTTTGAGGCTCACCAATGGTTTACATCTTGTGGTGAACCCTCTCTATTCACTCTGGTGAAGTGTTCTCTTGATTGTTGACTTTGACACACATACACCTACCTCCTGGAGAGTGTTCTTGATCTGGCCAACTGTTGTGAAGGGTGTTTTTCTTCACCAGGGAAAGAATTCTTCAGTCATCCACCACAGTTGTTTTCCGTGGTCTTCCAGGTCTTTTGGTGTTGCTGAGCTCACCGGTGCGTTCCTTCTTTTTAAGAATGTTTTTTTTTAATTCAAATATTTATTAAATTTTCATATTTATAAGTACATATAAAAAAAAGAGGAAAAAGAAAGAAGAACATAACAATACATTTCATCAACATTCTCATATAATATATAAAATTCTTAATCCTATCTCCTTCTATTACCTTTTTTTTTTTTTTTTTTTTCCCTTACCTCTACCCCTACACCCTACCACATCCCTCCACCCTCCCACTCTGCATTTTTCTCTTACTTCCTTCCCTATAAAATCAAGAAACTTCTCTTATCATTGCTTCATGTATATTCGTTTGATGTACAAAATCTTCCCATTTCTCCCATCTCCTATTAACAGTTGATTTGGATGTAAATACCCTCAAATTAAAGCTGACAGTCTGCAGTTAAAGCACATCTTGTTCGTTTCATTTCAAATCCATTGTGGTGGTGTATAGAGCCAAAAATGTTAGAATTGTGTCGATGTCCCAATATTTATGGACCTGACTGTATATCTCCATCTTATCTTCTTGGATATAGTACAATTTCTCCATCTTACTAATCTGATTTACTCTCTCTACCCAATCCTTTTCTCTCGGAACCTCTAAACTATGCCAGAATTTAGGTATCAAACCCTTTGCTGCATTCACAAAGTACCATATACCCGAGTTTTTATATTTATTCACTGGTAAGTCTGTTTTATGTAGTAAGCACACTTCTGGATCTAATCCTATCTTTATCCCTGAGATTTTCTCTATTAAGTTGACCGTTGTCTCCCAAAAACTTTGAATCCTTGGGCACTCCCACCAGATATGAAACCACGTACCAATCTCTCCACACCCATGCCAGCACTCTTGTGTTCTCTCTACACCCATTTTATATTCCACATTTGGTGTGATGTGCCATCTTACCAAACTCTTATAATTTACCTCTACCTCTCTCATGCTAATGTTTTCGTGTGTGAGTCTATATATTTTCCTCTGTTTATCCTCATCTATCTCTATTCCCAAATCCTTTTCCCATTTTTCTATGTACATTGGTTTTACTTCCGTGACTAACTCAGTGAGAATTTTATAGATTTTTGCCGTGCCCCGTTTTCCATCTCCCCGTGATTCCAACAAACTCTCAAACAAGTTCCACTCCTTTCTCTCTCTCTTATAGGTTTCGGAAGACCCTCAACGAAGTGTTTTAATTGGTGATATTTCCACTCATCAATCTTAATAAAAAGTTCCCTTCCACCTTTCTTTAAATCTTTCAATGTTTTCAATTTCTGTCCATCCATAATATCCCTTAGTTGAATATCTTCCTTTTTAATCCATTTTCCCATACTCCCCTTAATACCTGGTGGAAAATACTCCATATTCCTTAGTGAAATTAATTGTGAGTTAAAATCCCAATGCATATACTTATGTAAATTATCCCAAACCTTTAAAACATTCAGTGTAAACACACTCGTGGTATCTTTTAAACCTCTATATTGTGCTGGTGCCCATATGTTTCTACTCAGGTCAACTCCCCTCAGATCATTCTCTATCTTAACCCACCTTTTCCCCCTTATATTGTGTGTCCAGTCATAAATTCTTGTTAAATCTACAGCATTATAGTATCTCCTAAAATCTGGCATTCCCAATCCCCCTCTCTCTTTACCTCTACTCATCAAATCATAGGATATTCTAGATTTTTTATTTTTCCATATAAATTTTGTTATCATCTTTTTAATTTCTTTAAAAAAGGCCTCTGGGAGTCTTATTGGGATCATCTGAAATTTATACAAGACTTTGGGTACAATTATCATTTTTATCAGATTTATTCGTCCTAACCAGGAAGGGGTTCCTCC